AGTGAGTGAGTGAGAGAGTGAGGCAGTGAGAGAGTAAGGCAGGGAGTGAATGAGAGAGAGACAGTGAGAGAGTAAGACAGTGAGAGAGTGAGACAGTGAGAGTGAGACAGTGAGTGAGACAGTGAGAGAGTGAGACAGTGAGAGTGAGACAGTGAGAGTGAGACAGTGAGAGAGTGAGACAGTGAGAGAGAGACAGTGAGACAGTGAGAGTGAGACTGAGAGAGAGACAGTGAGACAGTGAGAGTGAGACAGAGAGTGAGACAGTGAGAGTGTGAGTCAGTGAGAGAGTGAGACAGTGAGTGAGTGTGGCAGTGAGAGAGTGAGACAGTGAGTGAGTGTGGCAGTGAGAGAGTGTGGCAGTGAGAGAGTGAGGCAGTGAGAGAGTGAGGCAGTGAGAGAGTGAGTCAGTGAAAGAGTGAGTGAATGTGGCAGTGAGAGAGTGAGTCAGTGAGAGTGAGGCAGTGAGTGAGAGAGTGAGTCAGTGAGAGAATGAGACAGTGAGAGAGTCTATGTCAACTTATTTCTTCATGAAATAAAAATGTTCGAAAAGTAAAAGGCAATAAACTACTGTCTTTGCAAGGTGTTCCTGGGTAGTCTAGTTTGGGGAAGCTAATGGGACAATTCACATGGCGGACTGAGTAATCTTACCTTCTTTAGTGATGGCATCTGCAGTCTCTTTGGCTTTATCTTTCAGATCCTTCATCACACTGTCTACCTGGTTCTCATGCTTCAGGAAGATGGGGCGGATGATGCGCATGTAGAGCAGTTCAGCTCCATTAGAAGGGCTTGGTGCCATGCACCACAACAAGAATCCACACTGCAAATAAGTAGCAGCATTAGTAACAGGAGAAAGGCATGCATCCTGAAAAGACACCCTCTTCACCACCACCAGGAATGATCATTGCCTCTGGTATTTTCTCCACTGGCATATCCAGTGCTTTTTGTGGACGATTAGTAGCCTGTTCTTGCATAGAAAAAAGTTGGCATCAAGGAGGCACATACACACTTATGGAATCCCTTTTTAAACTATCGATCTGCTCAGCTGCTAACTGAACTAGAGGGTTTGTGTCCACCTAAAGGTGCCTCAGAAGAAAGGCCTGGCAATCTACTTTTGAAAAATGGGCCATTGAAAATCTTTTAAAGCAGAGTTGTATTATTCTAAGCCACATAGGGTTACCAAGAGTTAGAATTGACTCCACAGCTATTTGTTTCTGGTCTAAGGAATCATTAATACCAAACAAGAAAGGTAAAATACAAAAGACCCTGGAGCTTAACTAACTTCCTAACTTGGAACACTTTTTCGTTTATTCCCACCCACTGCCATCAAATGCCTTCTGATTCA